TTGCTGGTGTGGAAAAGCCCTGAGAAAAAGTGGTCTGTGTCTCTGAGTCTATCCCGACCGCACAGCCCCACTGTCTGGCACATTGGCAGGCATTCAACAAATGCTTGATGACTAAACGAATACATAAAACCGATTGATCAAAGTGTGAAAATTGCCAAGAAGTCTAAACCTGCCCCCCTCTGTTTCACACCAAGAAAGAGTTTATCAAAAACACCCTCACAAAATGACTTCCCCTGGTCCGTGCCCGCACTTGCCTCAGAACCCATTCACCTTCACTCAAAGGCAGTAAGGCACACATCAGGGCAAACCAGACCCTTGGGACACTGCCACATCCCAGACATAGCTCCACCTCTCTGGCCCCTGCCCCCATTCCAACCCGACCCGAGGGAGGTGGGTGGAGAAAATGAGCAGACAAATACAGGTTCAGGGGGACTCAGGCTCAAGAAACATCTCTATGAATACTGTTTCATTCATTCCAGAAAAGCTGAACTATAGAATCATCCCTCTCAATTTCCAGGGGAGAAACTGAGGTACAGACAGGTTAACTGGCTCTCCCAATGAAAGAGATCAAATTAACAGAAGAGAAAAAATAGCTCCCTAACTTCCCAGAAATTTTACTCTGAAGCACAGACTTCAGCCTGGATTGTCCGAATGAAAGCCAAGGATTCTGGGTATCCACAGCACAAAGCTGCTGCTTTCTTCCCCCCTCCCTTCCTTTCTTTCTTTTAAATATCATGGATGAGGAGGAAGTACCGGATCTGAAGGTTTATTTACCATTCCTTAGCCTGACCTTCCAGGAAGAATGTCACTAATGAGAAACAATCTACTTGGGCTCCCCGACCCAGAATTTTCATAGGGATCAATTTAGGATTTCAAAGTCTAAACAGGACAAGGGTAATACTGACTGTCTTGCCTTCAAAGGAAAAAAAAAAAAAAAAAAGCAACTGAGTTTTTCCTGTCTGGAAGGAAGTTTTGTATATGTCAAACAAATGTCAGATCTGAGGTTCCATCTTTCCCGTTGTTCTGACCGCGTTTGGACATCCACTGGGAGAGAAAGGAGCACATTCGCCTTCGTGTGGTGTAGGCTGAGAGAAGTCGAAAAGGAAAGGAAAGCTGAAGTTGGGACTGATGTTTCCCTAATTCAAGAACTGACCTTACAGTCGAGCCTAGAAGCCAGGAACTCTGCTCTGGAGACCAGATTCCATTCTCATTCACATCCAAATGACGATTTTTTTTTTCATTGTGGAGGAGACATTTCCATTCCAGCAAAGTTTACACTCCACGAAAGCAGGGGTCATGTCTGTCTTGCTCTCTGCTGTATCCCACTGCCAGCAGATGCCTGTCACATAATAGGTCCTCCTATTAAATGAATGAATGAATGAAACAATCAGTCACTGTAAAACAGTTGCCTAGAAACAGCCAATATCATTTCCTTTTTTTTTTTTTAATTTATTTTTTGGCTGCGTTGGGTCTTTGTTGCTGTACGCGGGCTTCTCACTGCAGTGGCTTCTCTTGTTGTGGAGCACGGGCTCTAGGCATGCGGGCTTCAGTAGTTGTGGCACACAGCCTCAGTAGTTGTGGCTCGTGGGCCCTAGAGCACAGGCTCAGTAGTTGTGCAGGGGCTTAGTCGCTCCGCGGCATGTGGGATCTTCCCGGGCCGGGGCTCAAACCCGTGTCCCCTGCATTGGCAGGTGGATTCTTAACCACTGCACCACCAGGATAGTCCCTCATTCCCATTTTAAAAGTAGGTTTTCCTCAGCAGGTGGAGACATTTTTTTTTACATGATAGGACCCAGAATTGTCTGGATCATCCTATCAGCTCATCTCACTGAGTCTTTGGACACTACATCAGTGACAAAATGCTATTGTAATTCAGCTGGTTATTAAATAGCACGAATGGTGAACTCATAAATTCTCTTAAAACTCTGCCCCACATCTGGCTGTGCTGGTGGGTCGTAAAACCTCTCAGGTGTTAGATGCCCTGTTTCATTTGGTCTCAGCTTAGCAGAAACCACTCTCCACCTACTGTCCTGGCCACCACAGCTGGGTATGGCGAGTATCAATAAACTGTCACTTGGTGATCAGAAAGGCAGCAGTACGGCTCCATCTCGGACCAACTGTCCCCATCCACTCTGGCCTCAAATTCCCTCTCAGGACGAAGTTCTGACCTTCCTCTGGGAGAAGGAGGGTGTGCATCGAATGATTCCAGCTTTGTTACGTTAGCTGAAGAACGACTGAGAGACAGCTGGTGTCAGGTGGGAAACCATGGATCTGAGCGTAAATTTAGGTTCTGCCACTAAGTGGCTGTATCCACGCTAGACAGATGGCTCCCTTCTGTGGCCTCAGTCTCTCTCTGTAAAATGGGGATAATAACTGTGCCTCCTTCCTGGGGTTGTTGTGAGGGTTAAGTAAATCAGTATAGAGAGAATACATTAGACAGTGCTGGCACACTGTACATACTATGTGTTAGCTGTTGTTTTTATCTGTAAAATGAGGGCCCCTATACTTCATGATCCCTCAGCCCTCCTAAGAAGGGAAAACTTAATAACTCTGAGGTTGCATTTTTGTTTTTCCTATGCACCTGCCCAGACCATATACGGATAAAGGTAAGAGTTTGCACTAGTGGTCTAAAAGGAGAGAAGGGAAGGCTCCTCTCAGTACCCTGTTTTGCATGGTCCTGGAAGAAGACCCTCCCAGAGGGGCAACCCCATCTACCTAACCCAACTTAAATGTAATCTGTAATTTCCTGCCACCTCAGTGCAATTGGCAACACCATCTCAGCATGGAAATTGGTTCTGTTCAAAGAGCGGGAGAATGGCAGGAGGAACTTCTGGGCTCGGGAAGGGGTGCGGGTCCCTAGGGCTCTCTGTTCAGCCCCAGATTCTGGCCCCTTCCATCTGGGGTCAGGAGCCTTCCACCAATTCAGTGATGTAACCCAGAAATCTGGGCTGCAGTTTCTGGATCTCTTAATGATAATGATAATCTCTTAAATGAACACAGTTCATCACAGCCATCAAAATAAGTGCTTCTCAAATATCCCTCGTCCATGTGTGTGGCCCATTTCTATGATGAGTAAACTGAGCCTCAGAACGGTTATCACCGGAGGCAAAACACTTGGCATTCAAGCTAAGCTGCCTTGTTTACACTGTTGATGATGTTTTTCCTGTGTCATACTTCCATCTTCCATAGTAAACTGCTTGATTACTTTGTTAAACAGAAGAGGTGTCCTGAATTGATATTAACGTGCTCCTAAAGAAGTCAACAATATCTACAGCCGTACCCCAATATCTGTTATTTTTTAAATTGAGGTATAGTTGACTTACTAACCCAATAACTATTGAAAAACCCTTATTAATGGGCAAAAGTGATCAATACAAGTTGGTTGCCCAGAGCTGGGATCCACTGGATCCTAGAGAATGGATCTCCCTGGTGAGGCCAGAGAGGAAGCTTAATTCCAAGCTAAGCCTCCCTCTTGGCTGGAAATAGCAGCCCCAGGTGCTCCCATCTCACTACCCCAGTCTGCAGTCTGTGATTAGGGGCCCTAATGGCCATAATGCCTCCAATGTGGTGTTTAAACCAATAAGGCTTCAGAGAAGTTACGGTACGTTTAATAATGGCTTAATGACTACTCGTGAGATGCAAGGCTTCTGGTTCCTGTTTGGCCTTGATTTACAGCCCAACTCTGGCTGAGGACAGCCAAGAAACCCCCTCTAAGCCCCCAGCGGAAGAGGGAGGTGTTCACACCAGGGCCCTTGGATTCCTTTAAAAATTGAGAATTCAAATGAAATACAAATGATGTTTGACTCCCCACCCCTCTTGCTAGCCTCTGGAGGCACTGAAAATAAAAATCGGTGTAACCAGACCTAGGGACTCCTCAATCCACTGAAGTAAGCAGGGTCCTAGGGCCCTTGGGTATTTCTTCCCAGATCTTAGGTAGGGTGGAGGTTGTTTCACTTTTTGGAAATTCTAAGCTACTGCTTTAGTCCTCTGCTTCCTCTTGGCTAGGGAGACCCAACTCTCAGGAGATGGAGCTCCTACCTTGGCCTCTTTCCAAGGTGGCAGGCCTGGGGCAGCAGAGCCCCAAGGTCTGAGCTGCAGACAGCCTCTCTCCAGTGGTTCCCCAGGCACTTCCAGATCATTTGCCCACTAAAAGGCATTCACTCCCTGCCTGCTGTTCAAACACAAAACCCTCTAGGTATTCCTCCACCTGCTCCTAAGGTAACCTCTGCTGGACTCTGTTCAGTCCTGAGCTGCCTCTGGGAGACCCCCTGTCTGCTCTGGCCCTGCCTCTGCTTCTGAAACCCACCAGGAATATACAGAAAGACTATGAGGATTGACTCTGTCCAACCTCCACAGTCAGATGAGGACACTAAGTGGCTAGTTCAAGGCTCCACAGCTAAGTAATGATCGTGCCCAGCTCCCAGCCCCCATTGCCAGATAAGAGCTGTTTCCACCCAACACTCCCAGTGACTCCTCTCCCCTCCTCTCCCCGAAACAAGAGCTCTCTAACGGAGGTGTTTTTGCTGGAGGCAAGTTTTTCCAACTCCCAGTAAGGAGAGTTAGATGAAGTCCCAGCCCAGCTCCTACCTGCTGCCTGGCCATTATCCCAGGCTAATGTCAGGAGACCAGGCCTAAAAGTATTTGTTGTGGGTGGGTGGAGGTGGTCTCTACCCCTGAACTGCCTCACCCCTCCAGGGTCAAGAGCCTCCAGGCCAGATATCAGGGCCAAGGGTGCTGCTCTAAACAAGGGACTCACCAAGATGGGCAGACAAAAAGGACCCTGCCCTCGAGAGGGGGTGGTTTCCTCCCCCTCTCCAACTGCTTCTGATACCGCGACTGGAGTGAATCAGGGGGCTCCCGGGCTCCGAGGGGTTAACCCGCGCGGGGCCGCACGTGACGTGGATGGTTCCAGCATTAAGTCAGAGTGCGGCCCCCTCCCCTGTCCCCCGCCCCCCGCGGCGCGCGCCGCTCCCGGGGGCTCCGCGCCCCCGCGCCCAGGTCCCTCCCCCTTGGCGGGCGCTCACAGGCCGCGCGGGCAGCGCGAGCCCCGGAGCCCCCGGCGGCCTGTGTGCCCCGAGCCGGCATGGACCCGGAGAGCTGCGCGCCTTTCGGCGTGGGGCCCGGGCCTCGCCCCTACGCGGCCGCCGGGGATGAGCCTCCGGGCCCCCAGGGGACCCCGGCCGCCGCGCCTCACCTGCACCCTGCGCCACCCCGCGGCCCGCGGCTGACCCGCTTTCCGGCCTGCGGGCCCCTGGAGCCCTACCTCCCGGAGCCGGCCAAGCCGCCCGCCAAGTACCTGCAGGACCTCGGCCCCAGCCCGGCGCTCAACGGCGGCCACTTCTACGAGGGCCCCGCGGAAGGTAAAGCGCGGCGCGGGGCGTAGCGCGCAGCCCCTACCAGCTCTCCGTCTTCCATCCCCGGGCCCGCAGGGGCCTCCCCGCTTCCCTCTCCCGCTCCCCTCTCCCGCTCGCCTATTCTTAACTTTTTACCTCTCTCGCCCTTCGCCACGGCTCCCTCTGAAGCCGGACCGGTGCTGGTCCCGGCCGGGCGAAAGCCAGCGCGGTGCGGGAGGCAGAGCCACGCGTGCCTCTGGTGGCGGGAATGGGAGGCGGGAGGTCGAGAGAGGGTGGAGTGGCGACGGCCCGGGGCCCACTCGGGCCCGAAGGCGGCCGGAACCGGGAAAGAGAGATCGTGCTTGGCCGGAACTGACACCGACCCAGAAGCCCGGACCGGGCCCAGGGCCCGGGCGCCACACTTAACTCTTGGCCCGCATACGCGGAGAGAAGCGCGGCTTTTGTGTCTGGCGCCCGCTGAGGGCCCTGAGGCTGGCCCCGACCTACAGTGGCCAAGCCGGGACTCAGCCGAGGGCTGCGGCCTGGCCTCCCGGGGAAAGGCGCTGCTGCCTGCGCCTTAGGCGCTCGGCGCAGTGGCCGCGGCTAGTGCCGCAGTGCCGGGGCCGTTCTCAATACGGAATAACTGTGTTCTTATTTCCCAGACTAACCTGGCCTCCCCGTCGTTATGCACGGCGATGGCCGCCCTTCTCGCAGTCTTGGCTTCCTCGCACTGGATCGTCACCGCGGGGCCGTCGGGAGCGGGCCTAACCCCTGGGTGCCTCCGGCTCCTGGGCCAGTGCCCTATTCACTAAGGCCAGTTGGACCGCTCCGTCTCCCAAGAACGCGCCTGAACTCCGGGGCCTGGCGGGCGGGTTCGCAACCCCGCCGCCGCCCGCTGCACCGGCTGACCTGTGGAAATGTCGGTGCCCGCTCCCGCCTCATCTTTGCTGCCGCATCCCGCAGCTTAGGCCCAGAGCTGGATCCTCCGAGATCGGCTGCAACCCGCCTCCGCCCCGCTGGCGCCTCGCGGGCCTCCTCGGAGAGGCCAGGCAGCTCGGGCCTTCGCCCAGTCGGGGCGGTGGGAATGTGTAGGGGAGGGCTGGGAGGTGTGTGGGGGTCAGCGGAGGAAATGAGCGAGTCCGCGGATCTTCGTGTCTGTGCCCTTTGAAAGAGGCTCTCCTGATAAAAACCACAGTTGGGACTTAATGAGAAGCAGTTGGCCTGGCTCCTCTGATCCCAGACAGACGGCGGCGGCCGCGCAGCGCCGTGAGCACCGCCGGGGACAGGTACCCGGCCTGGCTTGGTGCGCCGCGTCCGGCAGGACCCACCCTGCAGGTCCGAGTCCCTGCTGGGCGCGACGGATCCCGCACGGACCGCCAGGATCGCGACCGGCCCCGGCCCCAGCGCCGAGCAAACTACGGAGAGCGCTGGAGCAGAACGAGCGGACGGGGAGGAATCTAGCGACGGCGAGGGTGTTCACAACGAAATGCGTGGAAAGAAAACCAAAAAGTGTAAACAACCACCAAAAAGAGGGAAAAGGAAATTGGACAAAACAACAGAGAAGAGAGGAAAGAAGGAGAGCTAAAAGGCGGTCGGCGAACTGGGCAGAACGGAAAGGAATAAATGAACGAATGAAAAAAAGAAAGCAAGGGGAGGATCGAACGAAGCGGGTAAATGGAGAAGGAGGGAACGGAGGAAGAGAGAAGCAGCAGACAATACGAAAGAAAAAGAGGACATCCTAAAAGAGTAGAAAATAGCAAAATGGGAACAAGTGGGAGAAGGAAATTAACGATTCCAGCTGAGCAGAGGACAGACCAAACGAAAAGGAGGTGCGGCGGGTGCGAGCCGAGTCTGGGTAGAGACCCCGGCCGCCACTGGATTCCTCAGTGCCCTGGCCTCCCCAGTGCCCTGGCCTGAACTCGGCAGGCGGGCGGGTGGCCTGCGTCCCTGTGGCAGAGCTGGGCTGCTAGGGAGGGACAGCCCCGAGGACTGGGGCCGCGCGGTCTGCTTGGTGGGAAATGTTGGTCAAAGGGGGAGCCCGCTTAATTTCTTGGCTTTTAAAATAACGAGCTCCGAGCGTTTCCAGTTCAGACCAGTGAGCGCGCAGCTGCGCCCATCTGCTGCGCGATCCTTGCGAGGCCGGGCAATTGCGCGCTCGAGAGCCTGGCACGGCGCTCCTCTCCAGCCCTTGGCCGCCCTGTGCGGAGAGCGCCCAGCCCTGGTCTGCACCGCGGTCGCGTCCTGGCGGCGCCAGCCATCTTCGCGCCCTCAGCGCGTGGCTGCTCAGAGGGACGGAGAAGTGCCTGGCTGTTCCTTCCTGCTCTAACGGGGTCTGTCCCCCAGCTTGGCTTCTTGATCTCGGAACGCGCCCGCCGCCGCTGAGGCCCTGAGCCGGATAACCAGGCTGACCGCGGTCTCCGGGCCGGCCGCGGACTTCGAGAAGAGTCCTCAGCCGTTGGCCCCCGCTGAGGCCTCTAGGGCAAGGCTGGGAACCTCGAGGGAGAGCACCAAGGCCCCACTGGGGGTTTACAAACGGCGTGTAGGTCCACACCAGCTTCGGATATTCAGCCGGAGCAGCGGAAGCCCAGGCTTCAGAGCGCTCTGCGGGTCGCTTGGGAAAGGGCGCGCGCGGAGCAAGGCTGCCGCGAAAGCTGAAAGCCGGATGGCTGGTCCTGCGGCGTCGATGGATGCCATCCATGGGGCCAGTGGGGCTCCCGGTAGGCAGCCCGAGCCGTGCGGCTCTCGAGCTGCCAAGGCTTCGAGGCAGCCGCTAGTAGGGGCTCTGGCAGCCCCCCGCGTGCCCTGGGAGAGTGCCCGGGGTGTGAGAGCCCAGTCAGGGACAGAGCTCTGCTGGTTCTTGTCTTTCAGGCCCAACAGACTGCTGCTGTGGTTCTGCGGTTGTGCAGGCCACGGACACCCCAGTGCTGAGCTCCAAGGCTTCCTGTCTCCAACGGGAGCACTACCCTCTTAATCAGCCAGTGTCCCCACCAGGTGCAAGTGACTCCTGTACAGAGCCTGTGCACGTCTTAAACATGCACCGGGCTCACAGTGCACCTTTCCCCTGATGAGCTTAGATCCAAGGTGCGGGCTTCTGTTCCTGCTCTGCCTTTCTTTGATCGCTGCCCTTCACTTAGCCCACCTCCATCTCTTTCCTCTTCCGGGCCTTGCTCCTCGGGAGGCCGCTTGGTGTTCTATGAGACGTGCCCCTGTCTCCAAAGTGCGGGACTGCTGCCCTTACACCGGAGTCCTCCAGGCGGATGGAGGTTCCAGGACAATGGCAACGAAAAGGGAAGAAGTTCTGTGGTCCTCTGAGAGGGCTGCAGAATGGGCAGTCCTGGGAGGCCACGTCCCAGGAGGCCAGCAGGCTTGGCTCTGTTTTTGGATAGCTATTCTGAGACGGCCTGCTGCATTTTCATCCTTTACCCTGGTAGCTAGGTGGCTTAAGGTCAAGAGGGCAAGTCCCAGAGCTCCAGGTCTGATCACTTCCAATCTGGGCAGATCCTATTGAGATAGTCACTGAGGGCCCAAGAGGCAGATGAGCCAGCCCCAGAGCTTTGGGGAGCCCTCTGCAGTGACATCAGTGCTCCTCTGACCCCGTCCCTGAGCCACCCTCGCCCTTTTCCACCTGGAGTCCAGCTGTCCCTCCCTCTGAATCCAAGATACCGAGAGCCCTCCCTCTCAGGCCTGCTGTGGGTACAGTGCCCCCTCCCAGTCTCCCTGGTCTTCCTGACCATTTAAAATTATTTGGTTTAACTTCCATTGAGTCCTCCTTCCTCAGGTCCTACCAGGTGGAACTACCCCAGAACCAAAATGTGTTGCCCAGGAATAGAGGTCAGGGACTGAAGCATTTTCCCCACCTATGCTCCACCTGAATTATGAAAGAAGCCTGGTGTCTGGGCTGTCACTATGCACTGGCCTGAGAGCAGGCCCTACCTGACTCTCCCCGGCCTCCAGGACACACTCATGAAGCGTAGCTTATTTCACGGCCTGGGTGGTCATGGGAGGTCACCCACCACCTTCCAGCTGGGGGGGGGGGACCTTGCCTAACTTGTCCTCCACAGGCAGACAGGGACTCGTCAGACCCAGAACCCCAGAGCCCATCTCTCCAGTTCTATCCCCACCCCCGCCCCCCACCCCCCAAGCTGTGATCCCAACACTAAGTCCTGGGAAAGAAACTGCCTCTTGGTGCCAGCTCACTGGGCCTCCTGGGGGCCAGGCCCCCACTGGGGATGGGCCTGGGGCCAGGGAAGAGGCTGTGTGAATCAGTGGGGCATCTTTGTGGCGCTGCTTCTGCCATTCCAGAGGACTGTTAAGAAGAGATTTCATGGCGACGCTGCTGGGGGTCCTTGCCAGAGGGAGAGGGTGGGGTGATCAGGGTGACCTATTTTTCACCATGCCCCAGTTGTGGTAGAGCTCCATCAAGTTTCCTGAGTGAGGGCTAGCACGTCAGAGTGGGGCTGCTTGTTAATCGTGGGCAATGGGGGAGCCGTCAGAAACTCCTGGGGAGGGGAGGGGCAGACGATGACAAGAATGATGGGCTATGGAACTGTGCCCTGTTTCCACTGTCCCCTACCTCTCCTTTTCCGAGCATAGCCTGTCTCTATCTCCTGCTCTCTAATGCTGGAGCTTAAGTCCTTGCCCAAACATCAGTATTTTCAGAGGAATTTGACAATCCTTCTTGAAGCTTCTTTGCCCCATCTTGCCTTTCATACCCCAGGGCAGGGGGATTTGACATTGTCCTGAGACTTGGGGTTCAGAGAATAAGGCCCAGCCAGATCGGCCAAAGGTGGTCTGACCATCCCTGTCCCTATCCAGTCCTGGAGCAGAGGCACGGGCATGGGAGCCAAGGCCTGCAGAGTCAGGGTCAAGGAGGCCACCCCCACTTCCCGCCCCTGTGCTAGGCCCTGCCATGGCATCCATCCTGGTACCTCCACACCCTGTGGGACGCGCCACCACAGAATACTTCCCCGAAATGAACCCCCCTCCGTCCCCAGAAGATCCACCCAGACCACAGAGCACATGGCTCCCCAGGGCCCCCTCCCCAGCTGGAGGCTCAGCAGGCAGGCCTCCGAATGCCAGGCTCCCTTGAAGGGTGGCTGCCAGGAGGACGGGAGGAAAAAGGAAGGGGGAGGCGGGGACTGAAGCGTCAACGTTCTTCCCCCTCCCTCTATTCCACCCACAAAACCCCCCGGTTCGGTTTCCATCCTCCTTTTTGTGTTTTCCATTGCAGCTGAGGAGAAGGCCTCCAAAGCTGCCAGCTTCCCCCAGCTGCCCTTGGACTGCCGAGGGGGCCCCCGAGACGGGCCCTCTAACTTGCCAGGCTCCCCAGGCCCCTGCTTGGCCAGCCTGCGTGTCCCTCTGTCCCCGGGACTCCCTGACTCCATGGAGTTGGCCAAGAACAAGAGCAAGAAGCGCCGTAACCGCACGACCTTCAGCACGTTCCAGCTGGAGGAGCTGGAGAAAGTCTTCCAGAAAACCCACTACCCTGATGTGTATGCCCGGGAGCAGCTGGCTCTGCGCACGGACCTCACCGAGGCCCGGGTACAGGTGAGGGCACCCCGGCCACAGGACTCTCTGGCTGCCTCAACCATCCAGACCATAAGCCGGGCCACGGAGGGGCTGGGAGAGGTGGACGCTGGCACCACACAGAGTCGGCCTGCCCCCGTCGGCCCTCCTGGGCTCCCCTCCACGCCCTGCTCTGTTGCAGCCACTGGCTTGCGGCCCAAGTTGAGGCTCCTGCATGGGATGGGGGTGACGGGCTCCTGGAGTCAAAAGACCTGTATGGGAGTCCTAACTCTGCCACTTCTAGCTGACCAGGTGACTTGGGGCATGTCACTGAATCTCTGTCTTGGTTTCCCAATTTAAGAAAAGGGAATGATAGTACTACCTACATAAGGAGTATCTTTGAGGATCACAGATGTGTGCATTTTGGAAGACGTGAAATGTTAAAAACACGAATCCCGGCTTCTCCCAAGGTAGCTGCCCAGAGTGGGGAGGGTCCCTGCCGGGGGGGTGTCTCAGGATCGGTGATGCTTAAAGCCATCCTGAACCAGTGACCTCAGTCCTGCCAATTCCCAGACTGTGGTTGGGAGAGCCTGTCCGGGAGCCCCTGCCCACAACAAACTCTTCCCCAACAGAAATCAGGCCCCGGGGCGGGATGGGGCTGTTGCCAGCTTCACTAGCGTGGAGCCCAGCCTGTGTGGATGGGGTGGGAGGATGGAGGAATGCCGGGAAAGGACGAAGGGAAGGGAATCCATGTCCAAGGCATGCTGGAAGCGAGCAAGAACATGAAGGTGGCGGACAGGAGGTGGGGATGGAAAAGGAGGCTTCAGTAAGAGTCTGGCCCACGAGGAAGATGGTCACTGCTGCCTTGCTCTGAACCTGCTTGATATGCAGCAGGCTCCCTGATGCCAAACAAGAGGCACCGGGAGAAGGCTTGGGTCTGGGCCTCTTGGGAAAGGTGAGGAGGTGACCTCTAAGCAGAGGACAGTCCCTCTCCTGGCAGAGGAGACACAATCTGGGTGGGACCCCTCCAGCGGCTCCGAGGGCACTGGGGCAGGGGCCAGCTCTGGCAGAATATGGGAACCAGCAGTCAGTCTATAAAGAGGCCAGCTGCGGCCTAGCAGGGAAGGCCCTACAGCTGGATTCAACATAGGATCAGAGGGAGTTGGGCTGTTTCCCCTTCTCTGCTGGGTCTTCCTGCTTCCGTGTTCCTACCAGGTGGAACCCAAACCAGACTTCCAGAACTGTTCCCCAGAGCTCCTCAGGGCCTGGGGCCATCAGGGTAAGAGGCCCAGCATTCAAGGTAACCCCAGACCACATAAGCCATAGAAGTCCAAATGTCACCTATCCAGACACCCCAGCAGGCCTTAGTGGGGCTGGGGGGACTCTGAATAGCTGCCCCGGTGCAACTGCTTTGGGGAAGCGAAGCACACTTCCCCCACTGCTCTTCTAGGCCTTTTCAACCCTAAAAGCGTGGAGGCGTGGCCACAAGGCCCCCCAGACCTAGTCTAGAAGCTTCAGTGATGATTGAAGCCCAAGAGTAGGCATGCTTGGCAGACGCATGACACCACGCATAGACCTCAGCCCGTTGGGAGGAATAAGGGGACCACACACGGGACAGTGCAGGGGGCAGGTTCAGAGCAAGGAGGGGAGAGCGGGGTGGTGACAGGGAAGAATTCCCAGAAAAGTGATCAGCAACTCCAGGCTCTTTCATCTCCTGCAGGGAAGGGAGAGTAGGGAAAGGAGAGCCGGTTGTGGGTCCTTCCTCAGCCTTGCCCCAGGCCTGCTCTGGGATCCTGCCTGCATGAGAGGCGGTGTGGGGAGTGAGGGACTCAGGTAGGGTTACTTTTACACACTCGCAGCTTCTTTTGTTGTGGCTCCCAGCTAAATCCCTGGAAAGCAGGAGGATTTTGGGGGTTTGGTTTGCTTTTGATATTGCCAAAGTCTAGCCTAGAGCCTGACACATAAAAGTTTATTAAATGATAGAAATACACAATACGTGCACCAACACACATAGGGCACACACCAGATGACAAATCCACCCCAGATATGTGCACAGCACACAGGTATGCCACCCCACCCGCCAAGAGCTCACAAATGAATGGGATAGACGGATTCCAAACCAGATAATGGTAGTGGGATGTGGTAAGTATAATGAGAGCAAAGCTTGCGTATTTAGGAAGTCCAGTGGATATCCAGCTCAGTTGTATGTGTGTGGTGGGGATGGGTAGCGCAGGCAGGGAAAACGTGGGCAAAGGCAGGAGGAGTAAGAGAGCAGAGTGTTTTAAAGGCGAGCTGGGGTGAGAGGCAGCTAAGAAGAATTGAGAACTGAGTGTTGTTGCCTGACAGGAGATGAGGCTGTGGGGAGGGGCAGGGGTCAGTGCCAAGGGGCCTTGTGAAGGAGCTGGGCTCTCGGCCGAGGTCTCCAGGGAGCCTCTGAGAGTTTAAGCAGAAGCAGGACCCAAACAGAAATATCTTTAAGATTTCTCAGATGCGGTAAGGTGGGAACACTGGGAAAGAGATGAGGCAGGGGGGTATAGACACCCAGCATATGTGTACTGGTCCAGGGCCTCTGAGGCCACGGACCCCAACGATACCCTTACCAGACACAGCCAGGCTGGAGAACCAGAGAGTGACTCAGCACGGGAGCGGGGGAGGGCCTATGGGGCCAATAAACCCGCTCTGGGCTTGGGCCTCTCTTAGGCCCCATCCCAGCTCCCTCGCTGGCCCTGAGGATGATGTGAATTTATAAGCTCCTGCAACTCAAGATCCTCCAGCCTGGAGCCAGCTCCCCACCACCCCACAAGAGAATGCAACCATCAACTGTCTCCCCCGTGGGCTCCACGCCTCAGGGCTGCTTTATCACCCCCTCAACCTCTCCCAACCTGCCCCCAGGTCTGGTTTCAGAACCGCAGAGCCAAGTGGCGGAAGCGTGAGCGTTATGGGAAGATCCAGGAGGGGCGGAACCCCTTCACGTCTGCCTATGACATCTCCATGCTGCCCCGAACCGACAGCCATCCCCAGGTGAGACCCCTCCCCACCCAGACTCGGGGCCTGGCAATTCCGTGGGGAAGCCAGCAAGAGTGTGAACTGTGGTCCCAGGGAGACCTGGAGCAGCATTAGGGCTCCAAGTGATTGTGGGTCAATCACTTCTTCCTCTGCAAAATGGGCTCTTACCAGTCTCATGAATGGTGTACGCAGAGCAGTTGGTACAAAGGAATCACCAGAGGAAATCTCATTTTGAGATGTAATGGCAGGGGCCTTCTGAGATGCCACTGCAAGTGTTGGGGGCAGGAGGGAGCAGATTCTAGACCTGGACCAAGTGGAGTTTTCTTGTAACGTTTCCGGAGCCGTAAGGGCAAAGAGAGAGTCCCTAGGTAAGGAAGGCCCCCCAGGCTCCTGATTCATGGGTTTTCTTTTTCTTTCTCTCTTTTCAGCTGCAGAACTCCCTGTGGCCCAGCCCAGGGTCTGGGAGCCCCAGGGGGCCCTGCCTCATGTCTCCAGAGGGCATCCCCTCCCCATGCATGTCTCCATACTCCCACTCTCATGGGAATGTGGCTGGCTTCATGGGGGTACCAGCCTCTCCTGGAGCCCACCCTGGCATCTACTCCATCCATGGCTTTTCCCCTGCCCTAGGGGGCCCCAGCTTTGAGCCCTCCCCGGATGGGGACTATAAGTCTCCAAGCCTCATCTCACTCAGGGTGAAGTCCAAGGAGCCACCCAGCCTGCTGAACTGGACCACATGATCTGTCACGTGGACATGCAGACTGAGCTGCCCAACCCCGTTTCTGTTTCCAGCTGCTCCCACCCCACCCCGGCCTGGATGCCAGAGAGGACACACCTCTGCCTCCAAGGCCCAGATGGTTCCTGGAGGCCCCGGCAGAGCAGCTGGGACCCTCAGGCTTCCGCAGGGAACAAGCTACAGAATCTTTTCTGTTAGAATAAGGTGAGGCTGCCCAGGAGAAAAGGGGCTTCAAAGCAGGTAGGACTCTTCCTACCACACACTGGGTCCCCTCCCCCAAACCCTGGGCCAGAGGGAAAAAGATACTGCCCTGCTTCCTTCAGACTTTAACTGTCATCCCTCCAGCTGAAACAACTTAACTGGCACTTCATTCAGGGAATGCAGGAAAATGGGAGGACGAAACAGGTTGAACTGGGCGGCGCTCCCTGCCTCTTAGGGGAAACCAGTCTTGTATGACAACCTAGGGCCGGCCTCACTTCCCCCTCCCACCACAAGGGGGCGTGCACCCAGCATCTAGCGCTGACAAGGGCCTGTAAACTGGAGGTCAGTGTAAAAGGTACCCCTTCTCCCCTGCTCAGCCATCTCTACTCTTGACCTGCAACATGTGCCCCCTCCTGCAACATGCTATGGAGTCCTCTTACCCCTCCAAGGGGCAGAAACTCCACCAGAAATCACCAAATATTTGGATTCTCTTCCATGAGATCAGGCCAAAGCAATGCCATAGAAACCTTAGGCTCCCTTGGTTTACTCATTGGCTGTTGGTAAGAATAAAACAGATTTCCACAGACTCAACCCCTGAGATTCCAAACCCCACTTTTGTAAAGGTACTTTTGTAAAAAATGTGCTGCCCAGCATAATAATAAAGGTGGCAGTATTTTTTATACCAGGTGATTGTGTATCCTCAGGGTTTGGCACTTGGTTGCTCTAAGGCTGGTCTGTGCCCGGGGTCCAAGCAGGGATCCTAGAGGCTACGGGAAGATGGGCCTGCGGCCAGCCCTCAGTGTGTGCCACGCCTGGCTCTGTCACCTGCTCGGGGTCCCTGTGGCTTCGGCTGGTACAAGGAGGAAGGGGGAAAAGCCCGGCTCTAGGGTTGCTGGGCTCATCTGGAAGGGAGAATGTGGCATGGGAAGGGGAGTGAGAGAGCTGAAATAAGATTGTGGCTGAACGGACACTGGAGGGGAGATGGAACGGAAGTCCAGGGAGCCCACCGAGGGTTCTGAGCTCCCCTAGGCTGGGACCCCAGAGTAGTGGGGGTGTGGCCATTCCCTGCTCCCAGACGCCCAGGAGCATGTCTGAGCTGTAGGGCAGAGACGAAAGCCAGGACTCTTTCTTGTGGTTTGAGAGTATTACCCATTCTATCCTTCATCCCCGCTTTCTGCCTTATCTTCCTGGAAGGCAGGAAAAAAGCAGGCCTGGCCCTCCCACCCTCCCAGTAAACACAACCACATTGCTCAGAGCAGCTCAGCCTCAGCTAGCAGCCCAGCTCCCCCGACCCCAGGCCTCCTCCTCCAGGCCCAGAGAAACCCAAGCACACAAAGATTCCAGTGGCCAGGGCCGTGCTTCTTCCCAAGGAGAGTGCAAATCCATCAGATCGGATTTGCCGGCCAAGACAGTCACTGTGACAAGGCCCAAGCATCACCCAGAGGAAACCAGTGTCCCCTTTCTCTTCCCTTCCCTTCCCTTCATTTGAGGGCCTGGCTTCTGAGGTCCAGGTGCGAGCCCCATGTGCATCAGGAAGGGAAGAGTCTGGGCAGTAAGGAGAGGCAGCCCCAGCTACTGCTGAACAGGACCACCTTCGCCCAGCTGGGCAATAATGAACTGGGGTACAAACCCACACTTCTAATTCCAGGGCTAAGAGAACTGCACTAGAAGTTTCTTCACCCAAGGAGTGGCCAGCAAAATTTTGGACTTTTTGTCTCACAAAGTTAAGAGAGATGCAGAGAGAAAGATTAGTTTGTTCTACAAATACTGAGTGCCCACTTGTGCTGGGTGCCAGAGATAGAGTGATGGTCAAGAAAAACCATGATTCCCTCTCTCACAGCTTAGAAAGAGGGAAGAGGACAGAATCTGTGAAAGCAAAGGAAGCAGAAGTGGGGAAGACAGGCAAGAGAAGGAACTAAAGTTGAGTCAGAGATCAATGCAGCAACGGCAGGAGAGGCAGGCAGAGGCCAGAGCGGGCCCTGTGCGGGAGGGAGGCCCTGGTGGGGGAGGGCACAGGGAGGCCAGAGACCAGCTACTGGCTCCCATCCAGGGGCATCTGCCCACAGCTCATATTTTTCTGTCTAGTGACAGCTAAATGAAGAGAAAGCTAACTTTACAACCGCCCACTTCACACATAATGAATATGAATGGGCATCCCGGAGCCTGTTCCCTAGGATTATCTGTGAGTTGACGGGTTCTCCCACTGACTGGGCCATCCCAGCCAGCCTGTCCCCTGGCTGGGACTCAGGCAGCCCTTCCACCTGCTTCCCATTAGCCGTCCTTCCATCTTCCCCTCCTCCTCCACACCCTAGGCGTCTCACCCCTAAGACAGCCCCCAGGTCTCCAGACGCCCCTGCCCCCATGGCCTCACTCCAGAGGCAACCTCAGCCCTCAGCCTAGGCCCGATGTTTTCCCAAGGCCAGGCTGGGGCTCTGGTCGGCCCCTCTGAAAAAGAAAAGGGAAGTGGCCCCACTTGGAATCTCAACCTAAGAGAGGTGCTAGGCTCGGTCTCCCTTTGCTAAGGTTCCTCTCTGCTCCTGTGAGGCCCACCCAGAGAAGCCCTAAATCTCGGTCCTGGCAGGGGCCCGGACACCAGGCCCGGAGAGGAGGGCCCTAGCCAGATCGCCCTTCAGTCCCAGCTTCTAGCCTCAGTCCAGCATCAGGAAATGCTTCTCATTAGAGGCATTCAGTCTTCGTCCCCGGCCTCCCCCAGTCCTTTACACATCAACCTGAATTACAACCCCGAAGTGCAGACCCTCTGCAGCCACAGACGGGAACAGAGCCCAGTATCCCCAGGAACTGGGCATTTCCTGTATCCGGCAGAGGGAGAACATACCTCACCCCTGCTCCAGCCTTGGCCACGGGCTCATCCCAGCATGAGCACGAAGCGTCCGCTCTTGGAGCCCTTGTTCCTGATGCTGGAGCCCCCTTGCCTTCCCCTCAACAACTGCAGCCTCCCCTCGCCTTGTCCCTTCTCCAGTAGGTGGGCACCAGCTGGGAGCAATGGGTCCTGTGGAGCCCTGAAGATGTCTGTCTCAGTACCTAGCATACTACTGCTCTTACTTGCTTTTATGGCCAGCTCCCCATCAACTGTGAGCTTGTCAAGGAAAGTAAGAGTGTGGTGTCCTATTCACCTGGACACTCAGGGCACCCAGAACAGGGACCGCCAGAACAGGCCTCCAAGGTATGATGGCAGGGCTGATGCTCCAGAGGTACTTCTGTACAAAGACCAGGCTTCAAACAGCCAATCTGCCCAGAGCACACTCTGTGGCGATGGTAAGGCAGCTTCCCTCCTGGGCCAGCCCCTGGGCCCACATATGCAGGATCCACCTGCCCAAGCTTTACAGCCCCTGCAGCTTTGATATTCTGTGTTCTTTCTGCACAGATTTATATAGAGATATTTACAGACATTTGCAAACCAGGAGAGAAAATGGCACCTCTAGTTAAGGTGAAGCTTCAGAGAAGCTTCAGAGGAGAGATTTGGGGAAATCAAAAAATGGGAAGGAGGTCAAAGCCTCAGCCAGACGGCTTCAGTAAACCAGGCTGCGTGGTCAAGCAAGAATGTGAAAATCCAACTTACTCAAACTGCCACCTCAAGATGTGTACTTCCTATTGACCCTAGTAAGAAACAGCAGAGAATCCACTGTGCACACATAAACTGTGTCAAAGTCCCTTGTCCTGTGCAAGTTACTTTGTGGCAAAGGCCAATCACAGGGACTTCCCATCTCCTAGGCCGTGTGACTTACATACGGACACACTGCTGGCTCCTACCCGGCTGCTCATAATCACACTGGTGCATAAAGGCCTGTCCTAGAAGCCCAGCTCAGGGCCTGGACTGAGGCTCGGTGGACACGTACTGAACGGAAGAGCCAACAAAGGGGAGATTTCCCCCAGAATACGTTTCTTTTATTAGTCAAGACCCCTTGGAGACTTAAAACCCCCTACAGGTGGCCTACAGGTAAGATAAGGGAACTTGAAGCAATTCCTAAAAGGGAACACTCCTTTTCTCAGCATCAGAATGGTAAGATCCTCAGAAGCAGAGCGTCAAGATCGAGCAAGGCGGAGGCAGACACGTCCAGGGATCTGAAGGCCAGACACAGGCTCCAGAAGCCTCAAACTGACACCAACCACAAAGGTGTTTGCTTCTCCCTCAGCCACGCGGGCTCCTGGGCCTCCCGACACTCCCTTTCCCGGGACTCCTGATGGTCTGCTTCCCCGGGCTCTGGGCACTTAAGCTCCCTCTCAGTTCCCATCTACCCCAGTGAGGGTCCAGCACAGTCGACCCCCTCTCTGACCCGGCCCCTCCCTCCCTAATACTGAAATTGGTTTGGCTGAGTCCAGCTCAGGGGTGTGATCCAGAGAAACCTGGGGCGCCTACTGTAATACCTCTAACCCAGGGGTGCAGACAACTTACGGCTCCAGCAACCCAGAGCCCTGGGGCTGGGAGCCCTGGAGCAAAACCAGACTGATGTGGAAAGAACACTTGGGATAAGTGCCAACTCCCCCTCCCCTTCCCCCTCAGATGAGAAAGGTGGGCAGCTTGGCAGGGACAAGGGGGTGACCTATCAATGCTGGCAAGAAAACTCTTTCTAGACCTGGAGGAGATATTCAGGGGCCATATTTCCTGCAGACAAGGGAATGGGCATTGTTTTCGCTTCCTTTTAATGTAAACAGAATACACAAACACATTAAAAACCGCAATATGACACAAGAGCACACACACAGATTCATATATATTTACAGACCCTTGCACACCAAGAAAAAAAAAATGGCACCTCTGGTTAAGGGAAGCTTCTCTTCCTGCCCCAACCCCGTCCAAAACCAAACTGCTGAGGCCGCTGCAGGAGCCTCTGCAATTGCTTCTAGATGAAACTTAGCAAGAGGCTGGAATGACATCAGAAAGCCCCCAGAGCAAAACCAAGATTCTGACTTTCTGGCCTGGCTCTAATCCTAAGCCCTCCTCTTTGGCAAGCTGACATGCCAAGGATTTGTGTGTCTCAGGAAGAGTCAGCAGGACCCCTGAAATTCAGATGCAGCGGGTTCCCAGCCCATCCCAGGTTTTCCCAGCCTTGGGTGGAATGACAAATGAGCTGCAACCAACTATGTCCAAGAGAGGAGGGCGCGGAGGAGTGAAGGAAGAGAGGATCCCAAGCAGAGAGATGACCACTCCCGAGCAGGACGCTGGGAATCAATGAGAGGTCAGATGCAGACTCCCCAGCCAACCCAGCACTGGCTAGGAAGGGCACAGTGGGGCTGTGCTGCCACCTGGAGGGGGATGGGAGCACTGCAGCAAGGAACCAGGACAGCCCCTGGGGTACCTGGAGATCACCCCTTCTTTCATTTTCAGTCTCTTGCCCAGGAGCCTCACTGCAGCAGCTCCTCCCAGGAAATGGGCTTGGAGAAGACCTCCCTTTCTAACCAGAGGTCGTAGTTCATCTGGAAGTCCTCAGGGAGGTCCACCCGCTGGCCCAGGACACTTTGCAGGCAGTTGTCCACAGGCAGGAAGTCGGGGTTGCTGTGGACCCGGTCGTACCGCCGGGCGTTGAAGCGCTCGATGTTGGCGCGGAGGGCACATTCCTCTGCCTGGAAGTCCCAAGGCCGGGCGTCAAGGTCTAGGACAAAGCAGGAAGCCACGGTTAGGAGCCAAGCCCTTGCGGCAGCTCCCCTGGGTTCACTGCAGCTTAGGGCCACGCCAGCCCGGGCTTGGAATGTTGACTGTCAACCAGAAGCGGGAAACCTCCGAGCCCCATCCTCGGGAAAACTGACAGGACTTCTTTCCTAGACACACAGGTAAGTCAGGTCGAAGGCGAAAAGCCAGAGCTACGGAGAAAGAGGCTACACTGCAGTTTATGTGGACCCAGTGAGGGAAAGCCAGGGGTACAACGTGCTTCTCTCAAAGTCACGCTCTCCCTGGCTCTCTGGGATCAGAGGCAGGAGCCCGCAGATCCCCTCCTCTGCTTGTTCTCTCAGTTCCCTGACCAGGTGCTGTGGCCACCTTGGCTCTGCACAAATTCAGGGCGTTGGGAGTGCAGATGCAGCCATGTGGCCAGGAATTGTAAGGGTGCGGGGAGCATGCTCAGTAACACCGGGAAGACCCACTCTGCCAGGGAGGCCAAGGTGGGGAGGGGAGGAACACACGCAGATACAGAACAATTAGGGGGTACGGGGAGGTACGCTGCCGGGAGAGAGTACAAACTGGGAGAAAGCATGGCCAATGTGCACGGACTGTGCCCAGAGCCCTACAGGTGTGATGGAAGCTGGGCTGAGGGGAAGCTGGAACAGATTAGATGAGGACACGGAGGGACAAAGTGTGGGCCTTAAATACGTTAAGAGTTTGGCACTAATTCTTCGGGAAATCAGAAGCCAATGAAGGATTTTACTCAGGGAGGTACCACCACTAGATCTGTATTTTCAAAAGATCACTAGAGCAAAGTCTGAGGCACTGATGGAGAGAAAGGAACTGGCAGGGAATCCATCAGGAGCTGTGAGAATTTCAGTGACCAGAACCACGGCAGCTGCAGGGGGGAGAGAGGACGAGAGGACAGAGAAAGTCTTGTGACCATTTCTGGAAAAGGAAAGGGGAGGCACAGAGAGGAATGGGTATGATCACAGATGCCAAGCCTGGCAGCTTCTCCAAGTCCTTCCCAGGGCTCCCATCCTGATGCTACAGAAGCAGGAGCTGGGCTCTTCCAGGTTACTCAGGGAAGCTTAGAGGGAAAGCTGTCACCTCCCCGCGCCCCTCCACCCCCGCCCCGCCTCGCCTCGCCTCGTGGGGAGCCTCACCATTGCCGTAAGCCCAGTCGTCGTTCAGCCGATGCCGCACCTTCTGGTAGATGGCAGACATCGTCTTCATGTTGCTCTTTCGCCACTGCCGCCCCAGATACTTGGTCTGCGCCTTGAGCAGCTTCAGCACGTAGAGCTGCAGCATGGCCTGTTTCACCTTCAGGGCCCGCTTCAAGATGGGGGCTGACTTGAACACCACCAGCATCTGGGAAGGGTTAAAAGGGAGGCCCGTGCTGAGGGCAGAAATAAATGCCTGCACCACCACCATGCTGCTATCCCTTCTGGGGTTAGGGGCAGGGTGACCAACTGTTGCAGTTTTCCCCAGACTGAAGGGTTTCCTGGGACTTGGGACACCTCCACTGCTAAAACCAGGAAAGTCCCAGGCAAAGCTGGATGGTTGGTCATCCTAATTATGGGTCATTCTGGAATCTGAAGAAAGCTATGAATTCCTTCACCAGAAATATCCCTATGTGCACATATACACAATTTCAGAGGATTCATGGACCTCCCCACCCCAAAGGTATCCACAGACTCAGGGTTAAGGAGACTCTCAGAACCTTGGTGGAGAACCAGCAGAGATTAAGAGGATACAGAAAATTCCTTCTATATATGTAGATTTGTTTCAGCACATGACTGAGCCTCTTCCAGCTTCCAGTTCAACTCATCAAGGCACCAGAGATCAGCCCTTAAAATGCAAGGATGTGGCTATAGGAAAGTTAGGTGCGGACCCCTGCCCTCTAACGTGAAGGGACCCGGACAGCAGGTGGCACGCTGCTTTGAGCTCCGAGATTCATGCCTGCTGACTGCGCTGACTCACCATCGTCCTCGAATGCTTCCATTTTGTCAGCTTGTTCAAGATCCGAAGCAGGTTAATACAGGAAAAGAGGTTCCTCCAGCAAAACTGGTTACTGTCGCCTGCTTCCTACAGGGAAAACCCAGGAACAATCATCTCCTGCACAGCTGCAGGTGCTCCAGTTTCCAAGGCCCTCCCATCTGTGACACCAGCACTGCTCAGTCTCTCTACACGTGTACCGGGAACCCTCTCCTCCCCTCAGCCCAGGGGGACGTCCATCCCAGAAGCTGGCAGAGGGTAAGGGGTGCTCCCTAGAATTTTCCTGCAGGACACATGGAGCATGATATTGGGGGCTGTGGCTCCCTCAGAGCTGTGGCCCCAGAGAGTTCCAGTGTGGGGAGAGGGAAACAACTCGACCAGGTGAGCTCTGGGTCGGCAGCACCTGAAGACCACACTTCTGAAATAAGCCCTAAAGCCAAATCTTCCCACTCTGCAAGGTCCGCCCCTCAGCCCTTCTATGCAATTACAGTGCTTCAAAAGCCAGGCGCTTAACAGTGACCGCACCTGTGAAGAACCTCTACCCCTGTGAGGGGGAGGCAGGCTCTCCACCACAACCCTCACACCAAAGGGACCGCCGGGGAAGAGGCTAGTTACTCACCAGACTCTCGGCAGTCAGCTCCGGCAGCTCGTGCACCACGCACTGAGGGTAGTCTAGGACAGAGATGCTGCACAGGGCAAGAGAGCCCAGGCACCCGCCCTGAGCGAGGGCTGGGGTCTGGAGGAGCAGCCGCTGGCTCCTGGCCTCCCTCCCTCACTTGCGGGAGCAGAAGCAGTAATCGACCTTGTCCGCACCACCCCACTTTCCCCAGCTCTAAGACGGGGAAATACCTGCTACGAGTGAACTTGTAAGATCCCTCTGTAGCCAGAGACAAGCTCGTAATCTTGTAAGGGGTGGAGAGAGCGCATTATCCCTCACAGCAATAAATCTGGAGCGGGGGGCGGACTTCTCAAGGCAATTAATTTATGCCAAGCCGCCACTGGAGACTGTGTCTGGCCAGCAGCTCAGCTTGTGGTGTTATCACGCTGATGAGCCGTCAATGTCAAGTACAGCTGGCGCCAGGTGACGGGGTGGGGACAAGACATGATAGTGCACGGGGCCAAACTCCTTTGAGAGCAAGCGCTCAGCCAGTCCCCTCAAAAAAAAAAAAAAAAGGGCACAGAAGGGCAGTGAGGGCGGTATTGGAGCCCAGGATGAGAACCCTGCCATCCAGGCAAAGACAGACTGAGTCACCTGTCACTAGACTAGCTAGACTCAGGTTTGACAAACTGGCGTTCTCTATAGGCAGGCACCATGTCTCATTCATCTTTGGGTCCTGACGCCTGGCAGAGCACTGGCTTGTGGGCGCTGAATGGACTCAGTGGGAGAGGCCAGCTGGGAGCCCTGCCATCTGGCCATACCCACCCCCCTTCCTGATCCCTGGTCCTTATCACCTGTTCTTGGCAGTGATGTAAGACATAATGTTTTGATTGAAGAATTTCAGGATCAAAGGGATGCAGTTGGCAAACACCAGGTGCTGTGCCATATACTCAAACTGCAAGCAACAGGAAAAAATATAAGCATGCCCGTGGGACCTCACCCTCCTTCCTCCAGTGATAAAAGGCCTTGGTTGGAGGACTGTGTCTTAGAACATTCATGCAGAGCTCAAGGAGGTTTGAAGGCCAAGGCCTCTGTTCTTTGGGGCTAGAGGAGCAGCACTGCCTGAGGCCCTGGCCCAGTGGACAGAAGGAAGGGGTTGCAGGTACCTGGTAGACGTGGTTCAACTTAAAGTGCTTGAGCAGCAGCAGCAGGACCGCAGAAATGGCCTTAACAATGACCTCTTTGTGGCGGTTCACATCCACTCCCAGCTTCATGCTCTGCAACACTGTGGTGCTAGAAGCACAATCACCCGGGTGGGCCCCCAGCAGGTGCAGCACCCTCCTCTGGTGGTCCCAGGAGAGATGGGATTCCTGAGCTTTCTCTGGGCGAAGCTCCCACCTCACCCCCACCCTACGGACATCTCAGAGGTTACGCCCAGCTCCACCCACCCACCTAACAAGCAATCTAGCTCTGCATAATTGATTTCTTCCTTGTGATGCCCCGAACACATTCTTAGCCTATTTCTTTGCTTTTCCTCCAAAACTGAACTTCTCATCTCAAGATCTCCCCTAAGCTTCTGCCACCATATGAACCTGTGCTCCTCAGAGTGTGTTCTGTGGAATACCAGTATATTGAGATGTTTCGTATTATGGGGAAAAGGGGTTTTGGAGTCAGATAAATTTAGGAACCATTTACTTAAATCAGTTTCTTGCAAATTTAGGAGCTCTCACTATAAATCTTTATAAGAGGAGATCAATATTTGACTGTGGAGGCTTTTTCCCAAGGACCATCACGATGGCCTGGTGCTCCATGACATTCCCTTTGGTGTTAGCCAACGCTGCCTCCTCCCTCACTTGGCTGTCACCACCAGACGCAAGGGGTCCACCCACCAGGGGACTGGCCTCAGAGCTGGGTGGTACTGGTAGGCAGGCAGGAGATCAAGTGCCCAGGTCCTTCTCAAAGCACAAAGTGATCTTAGTTTGTACTCTCACGTCAAAAAGATGAGGTCAGTGCCCCAGGGAGGAAGAACCCCTAAGGATTTTACTATCACCCTGAGACATTCAAAAATATTCTGCATGCCAGTTCACTGGCAAATAGGAAAGAATCTACACCCAGCTCAGGTCCAGCTGTTGGCTGATTTTTGTCCAGAAGCTAAAACTATACGTCCTGGATGTCCCAATCACATAGCTTTCAAAGGAGCCTTTGGGGAAATGTCAAACACAGTCCGATTCATTTTACAGAGGAGGAAGTGACTTTCACCAATTCACTCAGATATTCACTCAGCGGCAGAGTCTACACTAGAATCCAGGCCAACCAGATTAAGCCACCTCCCCAAGCAGTAAAACTGAATATTTCACCCAGTACGTTTTCTTTCTTCTGAGCCAGGAATACCCTAAACTTAACCTGCAGAGAAGTTGAGCCAAAACAACAGCAGCGGCAGCAACAACAAAAACAAAGAATGACAACAGCAAACAACCTAGCAAACAGTGGGACCAAAAGGCAAACACTTCCCCTTTCCCCTCTACCCTTCTGCCCCTGACGTGCTCCATTCATAGGAACCATACACACTCAATACTCAAGACTTGATACTCACGGCATCTCCTCAGGCAGGACATCTGCTAGGATGTTGATTGAGTCCGTTTTGGCCTTTGAGGTGGGAGCTGCGGCCAGCAGGATCTTCAGCAGCGCAATCTGGGGAGGAGCAGACTGTTCAGATGGTGTGGATGAGAGGGGCCAGGGGCAGCACTAGGCCCTGAGAGGTGGTCCTTCTGGAGGTGCTCAGGCAGCAGGAGGGGTTAAAGGACACTGGCGGGCATGCTCTCAAGGCCAGTGTTGTCGGGAGGGGACCCCATGGCAGGTAGAACACTCAGGAGAAGTGCACTCACCATGTACTGCGGCAGGCTGGGGAGCAAGCCTTGGTAGAGGGTTTCTGCAGGGACTTGCTCGACTTCCTCTTCTCCCTTTCAACAAAATGGGTAATAGGTACAAATACAAAGCCCGGTCCTGACGATGCTCTCCTGAGCCAGCTTGCTGGCTGGCTGGAGAAGAATCTGTAAGTATGGATGTAAATGATGATAATGATAGCAAACCTTGAACGATACAACATGCCAGACACTTTACTTGTAAAAACACATTTAATCCTTACTACAACTCTATGGAGAAGGTACTATTGTCATTCCCATTTAACAGGCTAGGAAACGAAAGCGGAAGGAGAGCCAGTACCTTGCCTAGGTCGCTACCCACTAAATGGATTCAGAGGAAGGTGGCTGGCCCAGAGTCTGTGCTCTTAAGCCCTGGACCTGACACTCGCCAGCCCTGCAGCGGGAGCCAGACTGGGAGCTTTCTGAGGGCAGGCCTGGGGCATTTTGCGGTCTAGGCCCAGCACAGTGCTGGGAACAGCTGGGATCCTACGGACTGAGGAAGGCCTCCAACTCACCCCTGAGAGAGGAGAGCGAAGGTACTCCTCCTCCATCTGCGCCTGGACCTCTGCAATCGACGTGTACTTGTGCTGGAGAGAGAGGGAACGAGGCGCCGGGGAAAACACCCCTCATTCTCTGGCCAAATGCCCACACCTGGCAAAGACCCCACACAATTTTCCTCAAACACCATCTTCTCAAAGAGCGCTAAGTCACCATACAGATCCTGAACTAAAATCCCAAACCTGAAATATTTTTCTAAGTGGGCACCTGCCTCTTAAAACCAGTGTAAAAAAGCACACAACAGACCAGGAAAAAAGCAAATTAAAGAAGAAAAGGGGTTTTGCAGATAGCGGCAACGACAGGAGGAAAACAAAAGCAGAATCAAGCACCCAAGTGCTCAGAATCAAGGACTCAAATGCTCAGAAAGCCCCTGCATGAAGCCCACTTGGTACCACAAATTTCAAAAACATATAAACATTTACATTCCAGACATGCTATTAGGGGCCACACCTCTTCCCCACTCGTGCTGCTTCCTCCCAGGTGGAGGGACACGAGTGCACAGAGCACTCCTGGCCCCTCCCCGCCCCTCCCCCCACACTCACTCCTCCCCTCCCGGGCTGGCCAGTACGGGAGGAGGAACAGGACAGTCTCAGCCCCTCTTTCTCTTCTCTCTTCAGAAAAAAGAAAAGCCTGTAAACTCTTCTGCTCCTTGACCAGGCTCAGCAGGGTTCTAGCACTGCCTGGTCTGGGTAGGCGAGTCTGCCTAACTCTGGAAGTGAGGTATCCGGACACCTACTGTTGTTGTGTTCTCATGCCTCATTCTCCAATCACTCCATGGGCAATAAAGCTGGCATTTCAGTCTCCCTCTGCCTACTCCCCTAACTCAACTGCCTTAGAACTTGGGCAAGGAAAAGGCAGGCTACTTACTATGCCCCTTAAAACCCAACTGTCAGGTAATATAATCTTTCATGAACCCCCAGTAAGTGCCCAAAACAAAAGCTCAGTTAAAACAAGTAAAACGCATGAAAAACTGTTTTAAAGGATGCCGCCAGTGTCCACCTACTCCTCCACCCCCAGTTCCTTCAGGCAGACAGGAGTCTAAAAAGGCTTCTCCCAAAGGGCTGGTCTCACTTTACTCACTTGGGACCAACCTAGGCCAAAAGCTCACCCAGAGCCACCTACCTGCTTCAGAGTCTTGATGCTTTCGTGGATTGGCCTGGGCAGCCCCACCACTGTGTTTGTGTCACTGGAGAATAACAGAGGCCCTGTGTTAGGCCTGGGTCCCCACACACCAAAGGCTGGGAGGGTGACCCCACTACCTTTCTTTAAAAGGAACTCGGATCACACTCACCTGCCCAGAGTGTAACCTATGAACTTGCTGCGGCTGGACTCGAGGAACACCTCGATGTCTTTCTCTCTGCCAAAGGAAAAGACTGCAGCTTTCTTAAATGTTATCTCAAGGCATCATGGTTAACAAAACACAGACTGTCCAGAAACTGCGAAGCCAAAAGAAAAAGTCTCCCACAATTGTTTTTCTTTTTGGAAAAAAGAAAATAAAAAAACAAAGAACTGAAATCTTCAGACTATTTTAAGGTCCTTCATAATGCTGTTGGATCAATAATCTAAAAATGTGTAACTAGTTTATTCATAAGATTAAGGTGATACATCAAACTTAAAAGCACACTTTATTCAGATATTAGTAACAAGTTTGTCACAACAGAATTTCTCAGATGTTCACAATTTTTACAATTAGAGCTGTAAGCTACTGATTTTTTCATATGAGTCATACTGTCCTGTCTCACACAATCAGGCTAGCTTGCATTTTCTGATGACTTGTTTTGTATTCCCATCACAGATCACTGAAAAGCGGGGCTTTAGCCTGGATCAAGAAAATGACCCCTATATCTTTTCACATGTTCATCTATTTCTTAAGTTGGTGCCCTTCCAAACAGATACCATTTATATACATCAAGGAACCTTGACATCCACTGATTCACGCACATATATCTCAAACATCTTAATTATGGTTCTAAAGAAATTCTTCCTTAATCTATAATTTTCTGTCAAAAATCATATACAGGGCTTCCCTGGTGGCGCAGTGGTTGAGAGTCCGCCTGCCGATGCAGGGGACACGGGTTCGTGCCCCGGTCCGGGAAGATCCCACATGCCGTGGAGCGGCTGGGCCTGTGAGCCGTGGCCGCTGAGCCTGCGCGTCTGGAGCCTGTGCTCCGCAACGGGAGAGGCCACGGCAGTGAGAGGCCCGCGTACCGCAAAAGAAATCATATACAACCCCAGGGTGGGTGGAGATGGGTTCACTTAAATGTCCTTGTTTTAATTTTTTCCCGCTCCCTTTCACTAGTATCATGTCCAACCAAGAGCTAACCCATGTTACTGACTCAAGAGCCATATAAGGGCCTCTCTGTGCAAGGCCAGCACCCTGACACCCCGAGGGCCAGCACTGGGCCCTTTAAGAGAGGCTCATCGCAGAGCCAAGGCCAGCATGGCCCTGCACAGGACCTCACGTGACAACTCAGGCCCGGTGCCAGGCGTGGGGGTGTGACAACACTGGTTTCAGGAGCACAGAGTGTTGCGGAGGTCTGAGACTCACCTGACCTTGGGGGCCCACGGGAGCCCCTTTGGGCAGGTAAGCCTGTCAGTCTGGGGGTGCTGCAGTGGGGGAGGCATCACCTCATCCCGCTCAAGGGGGAATGTCTCCCCCTCCAGGCTGCTGTCGTCATCATTCTCCTCTTCCTCCTCTCGAGAGTCATCAGCCTTGTAGGGATCCCGCTCGTTGAAGGCATCCAAGTTGTCCTGCTTTATCAGAGCCTGAGAGCAGAGGGACGGGAGAGCAGACAAGTGCCAACTGAAGAACTAGATAAAAAGGGGCATGGAGGCTAAAGAAGTGATCACACAGAAAGGTGGTAGGAAGAGAGCCAGGAGCAGTGGAAAAACCTGAGAGGAAGTCAACGTTGGGCCCAAGTGACAAATCAGTCCTTGCCCAAGTCCCTCACAAGTGCCACATTCTGAGTGCCCACTATAAACTGGGCCCTGGGCTGGGGACACAGTGTCCCTGCCCTAAAGGCATTCATTCTGACTTGCTGATCAGGGGAGAGTTCAACAACCGTCCAACAACCTGGGGCTCATCCAGTGACTATGCCACTGCACCCGTGCCCCTTGAGAACTCTCAGGAGTCGTAGGGACCTTGTCGCCCTCACCTTGTGCTCCCGACGGCCCCGTTTCTGCTGCTGCTCGATCAGGTCAGAGGCAGACGCTGGGGGAGAGGCGGCCCTCATGTTGCGGATGACTTTGATGCTGTCCTCAGGCAGCGGGGGGAGGCCCAGGATGGCACGCTTCTCGGCCTTCATGCTCTGCAGCTCCTCAAAGCCGCCCAGTGTGCACTGTGTCACAGACAGGCGCAGAGCCGGGACGACATGTCCGTAAGCGGGTCCCTGTCTGTGTCAAGCTCAAAAGCATCTGGGACACCGTGACCCATATCTTTAGAGACCCACACAACCTCCCAACAAGGGACTGAATGCACCCCCAGGAGAAACGAGCGACATCAGCATGGGAGAGGAGCACAGGGGGCAAGGAGTGGAGATGCGCAGGCTGACCGAGCCTAGTGCAGAGGCACACCTAGCTCTGCGTGTACAACAGACTCCTCGAGTGAGACAAAGGCCATCTGAAGAGCTTAACCCTTCAAGTTCCTAGAAAAGTAGGTGAGACTCAAATGCTTCAAAAGCTGTACATGCCAGTCTTTCAAAGTCAAATTGGGAATACACTGTTGGATGTTCAAGTTAAAGAACAAACAAACAAACAAAAAACCCACCTTCATCTAAACATCCCCCTAGAAGCAAAACCTCAGCAGTGTTCAGCAACTTTAGGCTGCTCAGTTTCACTGTTTCTGAGCAATTCGGCTTTCCTCTCTGGCTTCAGTGAGGCTTCGTGGGGAATCAACAGGCTTATCTGGCCAACGTCAAATGTGTAGAGCACTCTAAAGAGGCCTAACCTCACTGAGCCCTGGCTCCGCAGAGCTGGCCCATTCTGAAAGAGGGGAAGGTGAGTCCCAGGAAGAGCAGGAGTCCAGACCCCAGCTCTGCTGTCTTCCCAGGTCGCTCCTCCTGGAGGGAAAGGCTCCTGGTTTGGTCTGGGCCTGGCTGCTGACAGTGGCTCCCAAGCCAAGGGTGCTAGCCAGCCCACTCTCCTGGACCCACCCCTTCACTAGCTAGAGAAGGAGTCAGCTTTCACACCATACCCTGAGGAAAATGTAGGCACAGGACTCACTCTTTCTTCTTTCAAGTGACATCTGACTGAGGGGGCCCCAATTACACCAGCTCTAATTTTGCCTCAAATCACTTTGCAAACTCCAGGTTCAAGAGCAGCTTGCCTGGAGAGACGTGTCCTACGACTGCAGAAAACAGCTTCCAGGAACCAGGGAGCCAACAATCTATTCTGATTCAAAGGCCAAGTCCTCTTTGGCTGCAGTGAGGCCAAAGTGACACTTTTTTTTGCCATCACCTTTCAGGAATCTTCTTTCAGAACTTTTTTTTTAACCAAAGCAGTTATATATTCATATAATTCAATACTCAAAAGGATATACAGTGAAAACTCTCCCTCCTGCCCTGTCCCCTAGCACGGGAATTCCCCTTCAAGGACGCACTCACCAATACCGTCTTCCAGAGCAGCAAGAGAACCTTCTTCATGGGGAAGTGAGGGGCATGGCCGCTGCAAAATTTGGTCACCATCCCAAATAGCATGATGGCAAATGGCTCGCTGTTGTACAGAGGGGAACCTGGGGTACACAAAGGTATCAGGGCCACAGGCAGGAACAGGACCCTCCCAAAGCCCTCCAGCCTCAATTCCCAGGCAGGGCCTTGAGCCAGGATCCCCAGAGTCCTACCCAGCTCAGCCCTGAAGGTCTGTCGCATTGTCCTCCATTCGGCCTTATCACCCTCACATTCCTGGTGAACGGTCTCCACAATCAGGTACATGATGTTTAGCAAGACCCTGGCGGCAAAAGCCAGCTATAATGAAGCAGGATGGGGGGTCAAGGGAGCACCCCCTGGCTTCCTCACATCCCACACGACACAAGAAAGGCCTGCGCACCAAGGCTGGCTGGGGGGGAGGGCTGTAATGTAGAAAAAACTAAAAGAGTCCCCCAGAGCACCTTGCGGTGGGTGCTTCCTTCTCTGTCTCTGGTGCTAAGGTTGGGACCAGATCGTCTTCCGTTTCTAGCAAAGTGCTTGCTCAAAGCAGGTGCTTAATAAGTGGCTGGCTGCTGAATGGATGGATATGAACAAGAATGGCCAAAAGCATTTACTACCCTGAGCTTCCCGGAATGAGAAAAACAGAGGCAGGCGTGAGCTATGGAAGCCCGTGTTGGATCAGACAAAGCAGTGGATGATCAAGGTGAGAGCAAGGAAGCGTTTACCATGATGGAGGGGAAATCAGGAGCAAGCAGGGCGATGGCCAGGGACCGTAACTACAGCGGGGAACACCACCAGTATCTATCTGAAAACTTCCAAATTCACAAAAAGAGTCAGATTCTAATCCTTACAAAAATGGGAAGGTGTTCTTGTTCTTTAGCAGTTGCTATTACTTCCGGCACAGCCAGGAAACGTCATGAAGTTGTCAGGACTAACCCCACACAGACAGGCATCAAGCTGTGCACGGAAAGGCAGAAGCAGAAGGAGCCAGCTCATGTGCTTTGTCCAAATACAAAATGCCACTCCACCGAGTTTCCCAGCAGCAGTGTGGGCAGGAGGCCACATTTCACTGTGGCTCTGTTAAGCATCTTCACCCTGGATTTCCGTTGGGAGTCTCAACCCAGGGCCCCACCTAGGGAGGGCCCTCAGTAGGGCCTACCGATCACACTGAGTCCATCACGCCTGCAAATTAGAGGGTGAGCACACACAGCGAGGAGACCCGAAGGTGCCCGCCCATGCCCTGCCCTGCCCTCGTTCTCCAGCTAGAGCTCAGGGAGTCCGGGATTGCTGCTCGCCTCACCTCAGGTCCGTGCTATCAGCCAGGGAGATGGCCGGCTTCCTCACCGCACTGCTGCAGGCAGCACTGTTGCTGCAGGAGAGATGCGAGAGTCAGTGCCTTCACCCAGGAAGGAAGAGAAGTGGCTCCCCCGACAAGTGCCGCCCAACAGGGGGATAAAACCCTATGCTATGCGCTTAGATTGCAGAAGAACCCACAGGACCCAGTGGGTGAGGACTCAAGCCCAAGACCAGACTGCCAAGGTTTGAATCTTGGCTCTAACACTTACTAGTTATGTGCCCCTGGGCACTCAACTTCTCGGTGCCATAGTTTTCTCATCTGCAAAATGGGGATGGTAATAGCAGCTAATTCATTAACATGAATTAGTACATGTAGTGTCCTTAGAACAATGCCTGAGACATATAAACACGCAATGAGTGCTTTCATTATTGATGGTGTTTTCCTCAGACGAGCAGCAGCTGACCTGTCCACCAAGCAAAGGACTAGTGGAGACACAGGCTAGAGCAGGCTTTGTTTGAGCCCATGTGTCAGACTTGTGCCTGGCTTCCTGCTGCGGGGAAACCTGTGGTGCAAACACAATGGAGTCTGAAGGTTCAAAATGAGAAGGCTTTTTATTTTTCTGAGGGGCACTGTGGGCCTGGGCAGGAGCTGCAGTGTCTGGCGAGCTCTCTGGTGTTAGCGGGCTGCGAGGCCCCTCACTGGTGTTCAACGTTTGGGTGAGCATCTCCCGTTATTCAAACTGGCTGGTTAGAACAGAACCCCATGTGGTGCATATAACCCTCTCAAAACCAGTTCTGCAAGCTCTGTCCCTCCGCCGCCCTTTCCCTACTTAAGCCCCTCAGAAGAACTCACTCTATTTCCATGTTCAGAAGCTCCACCAAAGCATTGAACGTGCCCACCTCCAGGAGCAGAAAGATGTTGTAGCGCATCCAGGACTGCACCTCTGCCTCCGAGCTACACTCCCCGAAGGTGCCTGCAAACACAGGGCACAGCTCACTGAGCCCCTGTCCATATCTGACTGGGCAGCATCACTGAAGTGGGTGCCAGGGGTCCCCGGGTGTCCACTCAGACCTTGGGCAACGTAGAGGATCGCTCGAGCCACCTTCAGCCTCTTCTCCCTGGCAGTGACCTCCAAGCCGTCCAGGAGCCTCATAGCGTGGGTGCGGTGCTGGTTGGTGTCCAGCTCAGTCCACTTCTTATCTGTCACTGCCGGGCAAGAGACCACTTACACTGGAGCCCAGAAAAATCCTCACAGTGGGACGGACACCACGTTAACCCATCAAATTCAGGACTGCCACAGAGCCAGAACACTCAGAAAGATAAATTACTCTCTATATAAGGGATGAGGTCACCCTGCTGCCCTATGAATCTGAATTTCCAGCCTGAAACACTGCTTTTTTCTGTGCAATTTTAATCACATAAAGGTTTTTCCCCCCAATACTCACATTCTGAAAAGGCCCCACCAGAGCACCTGCAAGCCCACCCTAAATGTCACATATGGCCTTGAATAATCATGGTTCAGCAGGTTTCTTAGGCCACTCCAGGATGACTTAAGTCATTCAGATGACTAAGAGAAGCCCTGCAGAGCTCTCATGATGTAAGCTGAAAGAGCCACGAAGTGGGGGGAATCATCTCACCGTGCACCCGGAAGTCCTCCTCAAAGCATTTTCGATTCATCAGGAATTCTGGCCCTTCTGTATAGCTGTAAAGCTCTGTCAAGAACAAAGTGTCATCGTCTCCATGTCCACGTCCTACAGCAGGTGTCACATACAGCAGAAAAGGTACGCTTCTAGGCCCAGCTCTGTCCCTGAGTCACAGTGACTCCTGGACTGTGCTGTCTAATTACTAACGGGGTCTTAGTGCTCTGATGTGCACAAAGGAGAGAATGCTGACTTCCCTTGCAGCCAATAACCAGATGCCAGTTAGGCATAAAGCCAGGCATTTCCAGTCCGACGTGCATCAACCCCACCATGCCATGCCAGAGGATGACCGCCACTGTGAAAGTGTGTCTCTCAAGTGGCTTGAGAATAGGGCCTGTGCTATGGAGGCATGAGAATCAGCTCAGGCTGACTTCATATTACACGTGAGCAGCAGTGGCAGCGACAGATGGGCACAGATGCAGGCACACTTGCTGGCAATCCTCAGGACCCCTGTTCTAGGAGAGACCACTGTCAGGGGGATTGCATATGGCCAAGGAACATCAATGTCCACACTGGGATTGGGCCACAGCCAAGTAAGCTGATCACGCAGAGATGCTTCATAAAAGTAAAGGACAAGCCGAAGTTATGAGATACAAAGGGCTTGAACCCGATAATTAACATGTTTTACCTATACACATCACTACTAGGACTATCTAGGGGGAAAAAATGAACTCCAAAATAACACTCACTCCTAATTTTATTAAAGACCAATAAGGAAAAAAAGCACCCCCATATAATACGAAGGCCTGTGCTTTACCTGAGAGCTCTGCAGCCCACTTGTCTGTGTCAGCATACTCAAACTCCAGGTCTGGGGACTCGGAATAGCCCTGTTGAGAAACGGAGAGTTATGCAAAAGATCACTGTGTTTTCCGAAGGAACAAACACATATGCTTCCAGAGACACTGTTGTGTTACAGACGTCCTTGCCTCCACTTTTCTGATGTTGTATCACAGTATTTTGTCTCCTGGGAAGTTCAGGTCTCCCTAATAAGCCCTCTCAGAGCACCTTGCACTGCTCCTTCACAGCACTTATCATAATTCATAATCATATACGCGCATGTGTATCTGTTTAGTGTCTGCCTCTCCATGAGACTGCCAAGTTTCCCGAGAGTGGGAGTTTTGTCCATTTTGCTCACCAATGATTCCGCAATGCCCAGCACACTACTTGGCATGACTGACTGACTGAATGAATGAATGAATAGCTTATACGCAAACAAATACTTGCTGGATAAATGAACACTAAAGCTTCCATCTGTTCTGTGCAGTGAAATGACCATTCCACATGGTGCTAAGATTCTGGAAGCCTCATTTCTTTCTGGCTAGTGGGCTATCAATAGCTCAGAAAAAAATGAGTATTGACACCCTCAGCCTTCCTGCCCTTCTCTCAAATTTCAGTGAGAACTGACAGAGAAGGCAGCGGCTGAACAGAAATGGGTTCCCTCCCACACACAGGAGAGACTGGGACAAAGAGAATCTTTTTACTGCTGGGGATAGGTGAGTACTGAGAACATACCATCCTGGAAGCCTGGTTCTGGGAAAAGAGAAGAGGGGAAGAGAAAGGTAGTCCTCGAACTTAATTACAATCTACTTGGGAAGACAAAGACCACCCACGAAGTGATATGCCCACAGACAGTCAATAACGTGAAGAACTCTTCGACGCAACAGAGCGCACGCTCTCATAAGTTCCTGAGCTTCAGTTTCTTCATTTACGGAACGAGGATGACACAAATCTATCTTGAAGGTTTTTAGGGACTAATCAAAACTGTGTAGCACACGGTGGCCTCTCACCAAATATGTGCCTCCCTGGCCTGCAGGCGTTCCTCATGCTCCCAGCCTACTGATTTCAGCTATGACTCAAAACAGAGCCACATCAGTATCTGTAAGAAAACAGATTTAGGCAGGTCTCTCAGCTTAAACGTGTTCTCTGACTGACCTTCCACGTGTTGGGTCTATACAGAAATTAAAGGGCAGAAAGAGCAAGTGCATTTAATGACCACTTAGGAAACTTTCTAACTATTTTAAAACTAGGACTCCTCTCATGATGAACGTGGATTCACCCCTACCACTTTCATAATCCTCCATACTTGAAAAATTATTAAGAAGTCGCCACTGATGTGCAATAAGCCCACCATGCAAGGGCTACTAAAACGTCAGTTTCATTGCTTTTTCAAGTAATTCACTTCAAGCTCAAAGTGTATCTGATTGTAACTTGCTAAATTTTGATGTTTTATCAGAGGTTTGCTCTTGCCAACAAAACCCAAAAGCTTGAGAGGAACTGATTTCACATGTCTAAAGATAGCATCACCACTCTTTGGTATGACCTGGTACATTATGGCGGGGCAATGAGGAATTCCCTCTCATCAATAAGCACCTGACCGCTAATCAGCCTCGGTGTCCTCTCAGGTGAAGAAAACCTCACAGTAAGTGCTCTGGGAACAAGGTGATTAAGAAGCCCTAAAGCGCTACGACGTGCGTGTCTTCATTCATGAATTCTACAACGGAGGCAGTGGGAGTAATTCTTTAACTCGGGGTGAGGTGACTAGTCAGCTCCAGACTACTGTGTCTCCGGAATGGGAGGAACAGCCCACTAGCAAGAGAAGAGGGATGCTGAGCTCTAACGCATGTTTAAATATCTATTTCTAATCTTTTAACAGTTCAGCATCGGGCGCACTGGGCACACCAACCACCGGGCACTGTCAAACCGCGGCCTGAACCTGCAGTGGTTAAGGTCAGAGTGAACAGGACTGCTCCCCCTCCTACTCTCGCAACCTCGAGGCGCACAGTGTATACTATCAGTGCTAATTAGCTCCGTCAGTCTTCCAGGTGCCTTCCCAACCCTCGCCAGTCCCTTCCCTGCCCACACACGCCGTCCGCCGCGGAACCCACGCGACCAGAAGCCGGAGATGACTAGGGGGTCTGGGGGTACAGCCGCCCCGCCCTCTGGAGCGCACGCAGACCACTGACTCTTCACCCCGAACTGAGGCAGGGGGTGGATTCCCCAGGGGCTGGGACCCGGAGGTCGCGCTCACAGCCCCGGCCGCAGAGGAGCAAACGAACCGACACCGGCTCGGGGAGGTTCTCCCGGTCTGCGAAGCTCTGGGCGGGGACCCCGCCTTCACGCCTCCGGCCTCGGGGAATGCCAGCCTTGCTTCCTGCACCTTTCGCTGTAAATGACAACTCCCCTGCCGAACCCTCCGGGAAACCCAGCCTGGACCCGAAAGTGGCCCCGGGCCCGGACCCCCTGCCGCCGCCTGCCTGCTGTTAGCCTCGCCCCCCGAAGCTCCTGACCTCCGAGTCTTTGCGCTGGTTGCGGTTGAACTCTCGGGCTTTGACCCCGGGCACGAGGCTCCCGGCGGTCCGCGGTGCCCCAGTTGGAGGCTGCGCCGTGGCGGGCGGCGGAGGTGGCGGCGGCTGGGGCTGCTTGTTGTTCATGATCAGCAGGCCAGGACTGCCGACCGCCGACTCCATCTTGGCTGCTCCACACCCCCGGCTCAATTCACAGACTGTAGAGGTGATGCAACTCTCGCGTGATTTCCTCCTGGAACGCTCCCTGGTCGCCATATTAAGTGTGGCGGCAAGTGGCAGAGCCATCTTGGCTGCCCAACACCTCGCGAGATTTCTTCTGTTTGAAATCTAGTCCTTCTACGTCTTTTTACTTTCTACCCTGTTTCTTTTCCAGTTTAGAGGTCGTTTTATCTGTGAAGGTTCCCTTAGCCCCTTCAGTCAGTTTAGTGCCCCTCCCCTTCCTTTAACATCGCTTTGCACTTGTCACTTTTGCAGCCCTGTCCAAAGGTTGGGGGTATTGTAGTGAACAAAATGGACACGATCCCAGTCTTCACGGGGGGCGATGTGGGAAACAAATAAGTAAATCAATGAAACAATTACAGTTTTAACATTAATTAATCATTCATTCAACAAACATTTAATGAATGCCTCCTAGGCTCCAGGCAGTGCGATAGAATAGGGGACAAAATCAAGTTCCTGCACTAATGGTACATAACATAGAGCCTAGTGGGAGAGACAGACAATGCGGTCACAATTAGACAAATAAGTGCTGAGAAGAAATGAAAAGAAGTGTAAGGGATTGGAAGGTGACAGTGATGGGGGTGGGGGAGGTGCGGCAGGGCTATATTAGATAGGCTGCTCAGGGAAGGCAGGCCTGAGAGTGCGATTTTCAATGAGCTCTCAAAGAAGTCAGGGAGGGCCACACCAAGATCCATGGAAGCAACACAGGCAGAAGGAGCAGCTAACTGCAGGAGCTCCAACGTGCCGTGGCAGAAACTGAGTGAGCCAGGGGAAGAATAGTAGGAGATGAGGGCCATGTAAATGCAGGGGCCAGTTAAATATAGAGGCTTGAAAGGCATGGATCGGAGTTTGGATTTTACTCTAAGTGAAATGGCCAACCAGCAAAAGTTGTTAACCAGGCAGGTGTAATGGTCTGATGTTTAAAAGACCAAACTGGCTGCTTTTGGAGAAGGGATTGGGAGAGTAGGTGCAAGAATAGGTGAGGGTAGACAGGTTAAGAGACTGTATAGGTGGAAATGATGGCGGTTTACACCGGGGCAGATCATTGGGTTGATATGGTATTTCTATATTGTGTAGGTAGATTCAACAGGATTTGCTGAAAGACTGGAATCCTATCAGCAGGATAGAAAGGAATAAAGGATGAGTCCTAGATTTTTGGCTTGAGCACTGGGTGGGTGGTTGTATTGCTTATTAAAACGGAAAAGTCTGGGAGAAAGAAAAATGGGTTTAGGGGGAAGATCAAGATGTCTGTTTTGGACATGTCATGTTTGAGATGCCCATTTGACATCTTAGAGGTGATGTGTAATAATTACCTGTCACTATGTTGTGAAATCCTTAAAGGTATTTTATTCATCTTTGTCTCTCCAGAACTACATTTTGGCTGCTCCACACCCCCTGCTCAATTCTTGTAAAGTCATTGTGATGCAACTTTTGCATGATTTCTGCCAAGGTTCCACCTAGTAGGTGCTTTAAAAGTCTTTGCGGCAAAATAATGAATAAGCCCAAAGCTGTTTTGCCGGCACTTCCTCCTACCTATCTTCCTATCTTTTGCCCCTGTTCCTTCTCAAATCCAATAATACACTTTATAAATTAGCATTTCATCCAAGCTGGGCTGGGTCAAGCTGATAGGAAAAACTAAGGAATTTGCAGGAAAAGGACCAATGCTGAGAGGCTTTTTAGATAATACCAGCAAATCCCACGCAGCCCAACGCCTGACATCTAGTTTCAGTGACCACAGTTTGGTGAAGTTCTAAGGCTGACCAAAAGCTTAGAAGCTTTGGTCAAGTTCTAAGACTGACTACCACAAGTTCTATCACCCAACATAGGCAAAAATAAAATAAATAAATTTATTTTAAAAATAGTACAGAAATAGTATTCCATTGTTTATCCAGTTACCTGTTGATAGACACGTGGGTTGTTTCCAGTTGTCCTCACTTGTTCAAACTTATCAAGAAGTAAATGCCAGAGCTTCCCTGGTGGCGCAGTGGTTGAGAGTCCGCCTGTCGATGCAGGGGACATGGGTTCGTGCCCTGGTCCGGGAAGATCCCACATGCCGTGGAGCGGCTGGGCCCGTGGGCCATGGCCACTGAGACTGCGCGTCCGGATCCTGTGCTCCGCAACGGGAGAGGACGCAACGGTGAGAGGCTCGCGTACCGCCAAAGGAGCACAGCCCTGCCGACACCTTGATTTTGGACTTCTAGTCTCCAGAACTGAGAGAGAATAAATATCTGTTGTTTTAAGCCACCCAGCTGGTGGTACTTTGTTACAGCAGCCCTAGGAGACTAATACAAATGGCTTCAAATGTTTTAAATGTATTTGTTCGCTACTGCAATCAGCAGATGTTAAAGGAGTACTCTTTATGTGCCAGGCACTTGGCTAGGTATATCAAAGATAAATAAGACATGCTTCCTGCCTCCATTCCTAGAATGTGTCCATCAGGAAGGACAGCTATGTAAATACATGACTGCAGTACTTGGTTAGGATTGTGTATGAAGTTCAGTGGTGGCACAGTGGAGCTGGGAGAACCACGGACGGTTTTACAAGAGACCTTTATGCTTAGTTTGAAAGAAAGAGCTGAAATCAACCTCTGTGGGAATTCTGCTTGATTCTGCCACCTCTAGTGCTATCACCCCTAACTAGTTCAAGGTATGTAGCAACGTGTTACTAGAATTCTCTCACCACAGACCAGTCAAAGTAATTTTTATGTTTATTTTCTTATTTTGGCTGTGCCGCACAGCTTGCGGGATCTCAGTTCTCTGCCCAGGGATTGAACCTGGGCCTCTGCAGTGAAAGCACTGAATCCTAACCACTAGACGATCAGGGACCTCCCCGAAGTAATTTTTAAAACGCGACCAGATCATGCTACTCTGCTGAAAATATCGATGGGTTCTTATCACAATAAAAATAAAATCCAAACTCCTTTTCATCATACAGCCCCATAAAATCTGACCCTCCTAACTTCAGTCTCATCTCCTTGTACAGTGGCCTTCTTGCTGTCTGTGAACACTGTCAGGTTTGTTCCCATCTTTGCCTTTGCACTTGCTCTGCCCTCAGACCCAAGATCTTCCATGGCTCCTCTTCCTTCAAGTCTCAGCTCACCTTTTGCAGGGAGCCTTCCCTGACCACCCTATTTAAAAAGGACCCCTCCCCCATCTATCTTATTACCTTTTTAAATTTATGGCACATACCACTAATTGGATTTGTCTATTTCTGCCTGGCTTCCACCCCCACCTTACCCTCCATCCCTGACATCATAGAATGTGTGGTCAGGAATCCGGGATCTTGTTTATACTGTTTGCTGCTTATCCTGTTCACTGCTGTGTCCCTAGTGTACAACACACGGGAAGTGTTCAGTACAGAAGAATGAAGAAAAACTTACTCTTTTAGTCTCATGCTTATCATGTCAGATCCTATGTCCCCATGACTCTCTTTGGGATGATTCCCAAATTTAAAAAATTAAAATTTTTTTAATTCCAAAAAATTATTCTCATAATTTCATTTTATAGTCCCAGCCTATTCCCTCCCTGCAAAATTGCACCTTCATCTTTATACACTTTCTGAGCTGCCCTCTGTGGTATTGGAGCTATCGTAATCTCTAAAATTGTGTAGTCTTATTTAAGAATGCACTGAGATTTAGAAAAGTTGCCCAAAGTAACACAGCCATAAATGGTGTTTCTAGGATTTGAACTTAGATCTCTCTCTGACTAGAGGGCCTTTCTGGTTGTGCTCCTATGGGGGGTTTTTGGTGAGTGGGAGGTAAAAATCCAGAATTAAAATAGAAGCCCTGTCCATTTGGACTAGAAATAGCAAACACTTATTATTTGTTTCTATAAAGAGAGCTGGGTGATATTTGTTTAAAGGAATTCTAAAAAGTAACTTTAGTTTTTTTTGGACTAAAGTTAATTTGCTTGTTATAAAGAAGAAAGTAAACATCTACCACCCAGAGACAACTGCTGTTAACATAAAGAACACTTTTATCCAGTATTTTTCTGTGCAGAAAGAAAATAATGTCATGTCATTTTCCTACACAAATCTTTCTCTGAATTTTGAAATAATTTCCTAATGTAATTATTAGATCAAAGCATATTGCCAAATTTTTTTCCAGAAAAGTGACCCCAATTTACATTTCCATGAGCAGCACGTGAGTGCCTTTTCATACCATGCCAATATTTTTGGTTTCCACTTCTTGGATTTTTCTTGATATTAAACTTGGAATATATGTTTATTAGTCACCTACTATCTTCTATGACTTGTCTATATTCATTGCCTATTTTTCTATTGGCAACTTAGTATATTTTAAATCAGTTTTTGAATTTTTATATTGATAATGAAAATTTTGTAAGATTTGTGGCAAACTTCCCCTTTTTTGACTTTTTTTTTTTTTTAATTTATTTTATTTATTTATTTTTGGTTGCGTTGGGTCTTCCTTGCTGTGCGCAGGCTTTTTCTAGTTGTGGTGAGCAGGGGCTACTCTTCATTGCAGTGCGCGGGCTTCTCACTGCGGTGGCTTCTCTTGTTGTGGAGCATGGGGTCTACACGCATGGGCTTCACTAGTTGTGGCACGTAGGCTCAGTATTTGTGGCTCACGGACTTGAGAGCGCAGGCTCAGTAGTTGTGGTGCACGGGCTTAGCTGCTTCGCGGCTGTGGGATTTTCCTGGACCAGGGCTCGAACCTGTTGTCCCCTGCCTTGGCAAGCGGATTCCTAACCACTGCGCCACCAGGGAGGTCTCTTGACTTATTTTTAATAAAATGATGTTCTACCTGTAATGCTAAGCCGTTATCCTAGTAAGTCTTATCTCTTTAATGATGTAGTCATCAGAGTGAATTTTTGTTAATAAAAGTTTTCAGCATTTTTAATTCTTCCACACAAACTTTTTGTCTTCAGCATACTAATTTGATAAAAATCTTTCTCATTTTAATAAGTTGTATGGACTAATTTTCAATAACAAATTATAG